TGACAGATTTGTCTTTCATCCACAGATCAGCTGGTGGATTTGAACCATGTGTCTCTGGGTTGGCAACACAACTCTTAGCACCAAGCCACCAAAGCTTCCTCTCAAAGGGGAGGGGATAGAAAATGAATAGGTCATGGATTTGATTCTTCCCAACTCTAACAGTCTCTGGATCGAAGTTGAAAATGGGTATCAGGCCTCTAGGCAAATACTTCATTTGCTGTTCAAAGCCCCTGTGCTCTATCTCTAAAATGAGATGCGGATACATAGTTTGTAGAGGTGTTATAAACATTAGAAGGGAGCTCTGGAGGTGGTGTGGTCTGGAGAGAGCTGTGCTGCTACCCCAAAGGTGGTGTGACTTTGTTGGTTCAAATCCATGGGTGGCTGCAAGGGAGAAAAATAGGCACCCTCCTTCAATGTGATTTACAGCCTCAGAAACCCAATGGAGGGTCAACTATGAGTTGGTTTCCATTCAAATAGCAAAAAAGTTTTGTAAATTTTACAAAGATGAAATAGCTAATTTGTGGAAGAAGTCCTTGTTGATGCTAGGCGCTGTTGAGTACGAACCAACTCATAGCTGACCATCCTCCAGTGGGTTTTCAGAGGCAGCAACCACACAGGAAGAAACTAGTCATCCTTCTCCCACCATGCAGCTGGCAGATTCGAATTGCTTACCTTTGGGTTGGCAGTGCAACTCTTTACCACTTAGCCACCAGAGCACCCTTGGGTGATGCAAACAGTTAAACACTTAACCATTGGTGGCTCAAACCCACCCAGAGGTGCCTCAGAAGACAGGCCTGGCAATTAGCTTCCAAAAGTTCACAAGCTTGAAAACCCTGCAGAGAAGTTTTACTCCGTGCACATAGAATTGCCCAAAATCAGAATCAATGCAACAGCCGCTAACAATGACAATGTGTATATAACACTTTCTTGACAATTTTCGCTGTTTTTCCTGTAGACCATTGATTCTTGGATTTTTTTATCAATCTTTTTTTTATATACTGGGTTACATACAAAGTTCGTAAAGTTCGTATACATTGTTTTTCACACTGGTGTGAAGAACATTGATTCTTGATCTTGTCTGGGTCACAGACTCCTTGGAAAATAAGATTGAAAGCTATGAAATCTCTCTCCAGAAAAAGTGCACATGAGCACACAGACGCAAACCTTCTGTATCATTTTCAGGGGGTTAGGCAGCTCCTCCCAAGAAGCTCATCTGTGACCCTCTGGGGAGTCACCACCCGTCCACAGAGTCCTCTTGGTCCAGGAAAGCCTAGCCTGTGTTCCCAAAGAAAACCACAGTATCACAAAGAGCCACCAAGATGTCCTGAAAAATGACATCATAGTGACTGTCATTTTTCAATTTTAAGGAGAACACAAAGCAGAGACAGAATTTGATCAATGTGGGTTTTTTCCTCCCATAATTTTTTAAAACCTTTGCCACCTGCTGCCGCTTGTCTGAGAGTGTCTTCTTACAGAAGCAAAGAGAATGAATGAGCAGAAAATGAATCTGACCAGAAGAAATGAGAACAGAAGAACTTGGAGATGTGACTTCAGGAAAGCATTTTATGCTTGTGGAGAGCTTCTGGATGAGGAGGCCGCTGGCAAAGGCGACAGCTACAGCTTCTACTTGGCAAACACCCCCTAAGACCTAGCCCTTAGGGAACAACTTCTGCATCTAGGAAATGCATGTGGGGAGCTCTCAGATGCCACTGATCCACAATGCACACCACCACTGACATCCCACGGCTTCTGAGCTGGGCTGCAACGGTGGTTTTTTCCTAAAAAAAAAAATTACTGCCTGGTAATGGCTTTGAGTGATGCTTTGCGACCCACCTCTTTGACACTCCTCTCTACATCATGCCTTGGAAACAAGTGGCTCATTTGGCTAACTTGTCACTGTTATGGTTCATTTGTCTTTAGCATAATTCACACTTTGGGGGCTTATTTTCAAACAGAATTATGTCCAAGTTAAAATAGACCCAATCCAAGATGACTGATAGGCACCGAAGCACACCTAGCACAGCAAGTCATAGAGGAAGAGGAGTCAAGAATCGTCTGGAAGACTTCCCAGTGCCGGTTCAGGCTCTCTGTCCTAGTTCCATCCCACCGCATGGGGATCTGTGTGCTACCATGTGCCAGGCTCTGTGTTAGGCACAAAGGGTCTTCAGAGGCTCCCAGTCTAGCTGGGAGAGATAAGGAACAGACATGCACACTAGTATCTACAGCATTAAGAGCAGATTTTGCTAGAAGACTTGAAAGATGAGGTTACTGGGAAGTCAGGTTTGCAGAGAAAAATGCAAGAACAAAGGCTGAAAAGCGGAAGTGAGCTTGAAGGATTTGGGGAATGATGGATATAATGACTCCTTCTCCAATGTCTTTCTCAGTAGTGTCTTCCCACTCCGGGGACCAGTCTACCGAGAATCTAAGCACAGGCGTTTGACCTCCAGTCAGCTACAGAACCTCTGACATACTGAGGACAAAGTCCAGTATTTAGAGCCCAGAAGCTCCATCCAGGTTCCAGCTTTCCCAAAGCCATCTCTCTGAGCAAGCTCTAGAACTTTCCTGGGGTTGTGGGTTTTCCTGAGAAATGAGGTTAACTTCTACTTTCTAGAAACACTTTTGAGAGTGGTGAAATAAACTAGCAAGTGTGTGCCATGTCCAGTACATGTTAAGTCAGAGAATTCTCATGCATGTCCACTGAGAGTGGCCCCCTTCCGAGTGCTGGAGGATTCTTGGCCATGTTCCAATTCCATGGGAAAGATAATTGTAATCAGTTAAAAATGGCAAAGGTGCAAGAAATGGTAGTGAATAAGTCACTCTGTACAAGATGGCCAGTAATTCAAACCCACGTTTAATAAAGCACTCTTTATAATATAACAGTAAAGAGTTGGAAACAGCCCAAGTGCCCATCAATGGACAAATGTCTAAAGAAACTGGTATGTTCACACAATACAGCATCACTGGAAAAAAAAATAAAAATCTAGAGTTTGTGAAATACAGCACAACATGGATGAAACTATATCCAATTATGCTGAGTGACATTAAGTCTGTCACAAAAAGACAACTACAGTACAAGACCAGTAATATAGAAAGCTAAGAAATGTTTTACACACTGATAGGATCAACCCTGGAAGATTAACAGAGATGAGAAGGCAGGGGGAGGGAAGCAACTAAAAAAGAGGGGGGAGGGCTATCATGATACAAAACCACTATCATAAAAAGCTAAGGAAAGGTTAGGGAGTTCTTGTGGCCGACTGGGTAGGAAATTGCGCTGCCAGCCAAAAACACAGTTCAAATCCACCAGCTTCTCTGAGGACGTGTGAAGAGCAACCTTCTCTCGTGCAATTTCCAGTCTTTGAAAATGCAGTAAAGGGTTAGTTAGGAGTCAGTTCTGACTTGAAGGAAGGGAATGAGTGAAGGGAAGGTTTACACACAGATGAAACGTACTTGGGATGGTTAGCCGACGAAGGAAGAGCAAGGGAAACAAAAAGGAACAAAAGTTTTGAAAGAAATATCACATTGTTGACTCTTTTTTAAAATTGTCCAGTAGATGCTGGTGTCCTTCCCATAACAGGCTGTCCCCATGGAACCAGGCCAGCTTCCCACAGGCCACTCCAGAGGCCCAAGGCAGAGTGGAGCTGATGCGCTTACTGTGGAATGGATCACATAGGCTCCAACCCGAGAAGAACACTGAACAAAGCCCCCTGAGCTGCCACGGGCCTCGCCTCCCCTCGCCCACACTCCCAGGTGGAGAAGGGACAGGACTTAGACATGCTTGTCCTTCCATGGAGTGTTCACCTTGTGGTTGTCAGTTGTCATCTAATAGATCCCAGCTCATAGCAAACCACGCATGCAGAGTTGAAGTGCTCCGTGACGTTTTCAACACTGTGACCTTTTGGAAACATATTGTCATGACTTCCTCCTAAGAAGTCTCTGAATAGATTTGAACTGCCAATCTTTTAACCAGTAGCCTATGACTTAGCCATTTATGTAACCAGGGACTACTCACCTCTTCCTTCTTATTGTTTTTGTTGTTGTTTTTGTTGTTGTTGTTGTTGTCGTTGTTGTTAGATGCCATCAAACCAAGTATGACTCATAGCAACACTAAGAATAGCAGACAGATCTGAACCCTGTCCTATCCCATGCCAACCTCACTGTCTCTGACACACTCAAGCCCACTGCTGCAGTCACTCTGTCAATCCACCTGCTTGCGGGTCTCTTCCTCTCCTTCACCACCCCCCACCCCCCACCTTTCTCTTAGTTCAAAGGAAATTGAAAATCACATTTCAATTCATTTAATCTCCTGGAACCAAACTGGTCAAAAGATGAAGTGACTTTTTGAAAGTGATAACAAATCCATTATTCACTCTATGTCACACAGAAATCTTTGCCCTATTTATCCAAACTGCTCATCTTCTCCTTGTACTCCTTCACACATCTGTCCCTCTTGCCTTCCTCCTCAGATAGTACCTGCCTCATAGTTTACCATCCTAGAGTCTAGAGAAAGCATGGCAAATGGTGAACATCTTACGTTTGCTATTATTTAGAGTATAAATTTGTTCATTTTCATGAAATACTAAAAGGAGACCAAAGTCTCTCTGTTGTTACTGTTATAGCAAATTTAACTGAAAGCATCCGTTTTGTTATTGTTCTTATTGTTTCTTGTTTATGTATTTTCCTAAATCTGACAACTCTAAACACAAGTACAGACTCCCTAAGAAACTCTGCCAGGTGTGAGCAAGGGAGACACCGAACCCCAGGCCCCCAGGACTCAAGGCAAGCCTTCCTGGGACATTTTTGGAATCCACCTTTTGAGGCCCAGCCTAGGTGGACAGGTGTGGAAACACTAAGCTTCTGTGGCGTCAGCACTCCAGCTGCAAACTCAGTGAATGCTGAAAACTACATTTATAGTAAACTACACTTTATTAGTTGGCTTGTCTCCTCAGGCCTGGATCAAAACCCAAACTGTATCTCCCAGCCTGGCTCTTCCAGAGACGATCCTACACTTCACAGCCATCCACCCAGGCATTGATGTTCTCCTGGCCTTGGCAGTGATGCCTCCAGACCTCCCTGTGGAAGGAGAAGGGGAAGGAGAGAATATTAACACAGCCTTCCATTGCCGCTCAGAGAAGAGCAGGAAGAGAGTGGGGCTCTAACCTTCAAGTGAAGCAGGGAAGAAGCTAGCAAAGGGAAGGCAAACAAGTAGAGTTAACAAGGAATCAATCCAGGAGAAGCCAAGAAAATGAGAACAAACGTCTAATGTTTCTAGCATCTCTTTGCAAGGGGAAACAGTATAATCTGTTCCCCAAGGAGTCATGGGCAGAGACCTAGAGCACTGGAGTCTGGAGTCCTGGACCAGGGCTCTTTTCAGACACTACTACATCACATCTGGAGACAAGGACGTCACCTTGTATGTGTTTACTGTATAAAGAGTGCTCTCTTCACCCACCAGCCATGTGCTACCCCACCCAAGCAACTCTGTGAGGTTGGGCAAATAACATTGGAACTTTTCATTCTTCAGATGAAAAGCAGAGACTGAGGATGAAAAATGACTTCTCTAAGATCCACAGCTAGCAATTGACAGAATTGAGCCCACAGCCAATTCTCCCAGGCCACCAATCTGGGCATTTCAATTTTTGGTAACTTAACAGCACAGGGGATCTTTCAGCATCATTGCTTTGGTCGTTTCACAGCTGACATCTTTAGAAATATAGGCAAAGTGATCGTGGTCCTAGAGTCTCAAGTTCTCAGGAGTCCCTCACTTTGAAAATGAGTGTACTTTGTAATGTCAGTGTCAAAGAGTGCATGTTCCCCTAAGGGATCTCTGTTCTCCAAGAGTGGCCAGTTGGTCTGTTTGTATCTTCCACTAGACTCTAAAAGCTAGAGTCTCTGCCGTCTCTGCAGTCCAGCACCAAGCCTGGTATAGAGTGTGTCCTCAATGCATGTAGCCTCAGTTCCCAACTAGGACTTATATGTGCCACAAATTTACTCTCACTGTACTAAAGAGAATTAACAGTTGATTCAACCCAAAGGGGCTTATTTTTCCCATCCCAGGGTGGTACACACAAGTTCTCAAGCCTTGGGTTAGTGTCTGAGCTTGATGGTATAGACATTCACGATGTCCCAATGAGGCTGGCTTGAACTAGTGTTCATTCCCAGTTCCTTTCAGACCAGCATATCTCTAAAGCTGGGGCTATTTTCAGGACCCACCTGTGGACTCTCTAGCTTCGAAGTCAATGCATGCTTCCTCTTTGTGGACTATCTCTGGATCCAGAGTCGTCTTCCTCTACCCCCTCTCCCGCCCTGGCTACATCTCATCCTTCTTCACAGTCCTCAAATCCAGTTCCTCTGCTGTCCATCACCAGTGCCACTGCCTCAGTCCAGACTCTAACTCTCTCACCTAGACCCCTGTAAAGATTTCCAAATAGGTCCCCTGCCTTGGTCTCTTGCCCATTTTTCTCTCAGACTAGTGTTTAAGCCTTTCCAACTTTATCACCTGCAAAATTCATCCATGTTTCTACTGCACCAGCCACCTGAAATATTGGTTCCCTAGATTCTACCTCCCTGCCGCTCAGTCGTGCAGAGATTTGCATGAAAAGGCTGGAGACTCCCATCCAAAGTGACTAGGAAGTTATAGGGCCACCTCCTCAGAGGTCCTTCTATCAACCAGTGGATCTACTTCAACTCTTTGCTTTGACTGCACCTGTTTCATAGGGTCATCACAACTCCCTTGCCTGTGAGGAGAGTTTAAAAAATCATCTTGGGAGAAGAGGAGGGTCACGAGAAGGCCGAAACAATGGACTCTGGAGCCCCAAATCATGCTTCGAATAGAGCGTGCCTTCTCTCATCTGCTGTGCATCTTGAACCTTTACAGAAGATCTGGTTTGGAGAAGGATTCCATCACTTTAAAAAACAAAACAAGAAAGAAAGGGGGCGGGGGGGATGAAAATGGGAAAGATCTGGCAAGGACTTAAAAAGATGGGGTAATGATGGGCATCGTTCAATGGTCATTAACTGTGTAAAATACTGTGCATGGGAATGACTGTATGAAACGTAATGTCAATGAAGGAAAGTGAGGAACACAATGGATCCAAATTTTTAAAAATAAATTAAATATTTCTTGCTTGGTTCAATATTAACTCAGTTGTAACTGTTCACACGAACATAAATTAATGAAGAAAGTTATACTGTCCAAAACAATTGGTAGACATTGCAACTAAATACCTATGCATAGAAATGAGTATATTTTCATGTATTTATTTGCAGTGCCCTAGAGGCCAATATTTACAATATTAAAGCCAAGATATTTAAAAGAACTCAATGTTTAAAAATTTATCACTATGCTCTCACACTATTAATAAAATTATATATTATCTAAAAAAATAAATAAATAAAAAATGGAAAACCTGGAAGAAAGTAGGAAGAAACACTTATATAAATTGAAATCAATGTCACAAAAGAAAAACGAAAACACAAAACTACACCAAACCTGGTCTAGGAGGCCATTAGGAAGGTATCACAACAGAGGCCACGCTTGATCCAGAGCCAGGCTCTGGATCCAAATTCCAGACTGGACTCTACGCTTTATGGTTCTCTGACCTCTATTGAATCGCTTATCGTCCCTGAAATTCAGCATGTCACTTGTCGACACTTCCATAACATAATAACAAAACAAGAGTTATATCCTCCTTCTCCCAAGATGATTTTTTTAACTCTCCTCACAGGCAAGGGAGTTGTGTTGACCCTATGAAACAGGTGCAGTCAAAGCAAAGAGTTGAAGTAGATCCACTGGTTGATAGAAGGACCTCTGAGGAGGTGGCCCTATAACTTCCTAGTCACTTTGGATGGGAGTCTCCAGCCTTTTCATGCAAATCTCTGCACGACTGAGCGGCAGGGAGGTAGAATCTAGGGAACCAATATTTCAGGTGGCTGGTGCAGTAGAAACATGGATGAATTTTGCAGGTGATAAAGTTGGAAAGGCTTAAACACTAGTCTGAGAGAAAAATGGGCAAGAGACCAAGGCAGGGGACCTATTTGGAAATCTTTACAGGGGTCTAGGTGAGAGTTAGAGTCTGGACTGAGGCAGTGGCACTGGTGATGGACAGCAGAGGAACTGGATTTGAGGACTGTGAAGAAGGATGAGATGTAGCCAGGGTGGGAGAGGGGGTAGAGGAAGATGACTCTGGATCCAGAGATAGTCCACATAGAGGAAGCATGCATTGACTTCAAAGCTAGAGAGTCCACAGGTGGGTCCTGAAAATAGCCCCAGCTTTGGAGATGTGAAGATTGGAATATGTGCCTGTGGAAAGATACCTGCCACAAAGTGGTCTTTGTAAAAGTTTGCTCCCTGCTGCTACCCACCAGTCCTAAATGTGTCACCTCAGAGGGTGTCCAGCCCAAGTGACTTACCAGTCGGACAAACCTCGGGGCCCTTGGACTATCTTCATGGCACAGATGACGGTATCCCTGAGGTGAGGCCTCAGCAAGTCTGGGATGGGAGCCAGAGACACACGACGAAGGAGGAGGGAGCAGAATTAGGCAAGCCGGGTCCCACTCATTGGGCTTGCTCCTGCTCTCTCAGTCTTACATATATATAGAAACGTATCCTAGCTCCCTCCTCTATCCTAAGCCAATCCTATCTCTTGATTCCTCTGCAAATACAAGTATCACCCTCCCCTTCTATCAAAGACAAATCCCTCTCCTTTCTTTTAGCTTCGAGAAGAGACTTCCGTACTGCCTACCGGTGCAGTACATCCCGCACAAATTGGGAGACTTCACATCTAAGTTTTTGCACCACTTCCGGCTGTTGATCTGGAAGATGCCATTGTTGGTGCTGCCATCTGCCTCATGATCCACGGCATCTGTGTTAAAGCCACTTCCATAGTAAGCAAGGCAGATCCCTGAGGAGGACAAAAACACAAGGTCAATTGGCAAGGAGAAAGAGGCCACCAGGCCCTTAGCAGGACCATTACTGACCAGAGGGCTCACATTCTGTCCACTGAGCTTCTCCTCCTGCCTCCAGGCCACCAGGGCAGCCCCGTTCCCACCACCTCTCCAGATGAAACAACTGAGGCCCAGAGGAGGAAGGTGACTTATCTAAGGTCACACACAGGATTGAGGACTGGAACTCTGCCCAGCCATCTCCCCGCTGTCTCTTTATTTGACACACACAGTAAGGCCAATAAATGTTTGTTGAATTGAATGAGCAAGAGCTAACTCTATATGCAAAAGTAAGAAGACACATGGGTGACCACTATGGGGAGCTCAAACTCGAAAAAAATTGAGCTCAAAAGTGATTTTATTATGCTGAGTGAACTAACACAGTCCCACAAGGATAAATGTTGTATAAAACCATTACTGTAGTATGAGTATAAGGATCTAGGAGGGGTGGGAGAGGCTGGAAGCAGAGGGACGTGGATGTGCAGGGAAAGGAGGGGATTAATCATTGGATTGCACAAGTTAATGGGCAGGTAAGGGAAATTTAAAGGATTTGTTTAAATTTGTATTTTAATTTTGTAAATAAACTAGTAGGAAGTAATTTTTTTAAAGTGATTGTACTAGACACATGGCTTCCTGAAATAGCAACTGGTATTACTAGTTGCTGAGTGAGTCATGACTGGGTTCATATCATCACTGGGACCCCATGCCCAGTGAAACAAAATGCTTCCTGGTCCTACACAATGGGGTCAGACTGCTGGGGGTTTTCACTAACTGATAGATCACCAGGCCTTTCTTCCTGGTCTCCTTTAGTCCAGAAGCTCTGCTGAAATCAGTTCAATCTCTTCGGGACACACGAACCTCTACAGTCACACAGGCGGTAGTTGTACAGAATAGGTGCATTGTTCAGGAATCCATCCCGCTTTCAAATGGAAGATAGAAATGCTACCACTGAACCATCAGTTTTAGTCAAAAACTTAGAGCCATCGTCTTGATTTTGACTCACAACACCCCATAAAGTAGAAATAAATCTATGTGGCCTTGCATGTCCTGCTCCTTCAGCTCCTGACTCTATCAGCCAGGAAAAGGAAAAGGCAAATCCTCCTTGGCTGCCTCCTGACTGTCTGCTATGTGTTTAACTCAGTGCTGGGTGTTCTCTGCCTGTGGCCACTCATAATCTTCATTTTACAGGTAAGAATATGGAGGGTCAGAACGTTCCCCAGGACACACCCCTTGAGCAAAAGGGAGGGAGAAAGGAGGGCACAGAGTCTGCAATGGGAGGGGTTCTCACAGTCTGCCAGGCTGTATCCTCGGTATCCCTCCAGACCCAAAGAGTGCAACACTCTGGCCAGCTCACAGCGGCTGTAGACCTTGGCCTCGCCCGTGGTTGGCAGGCAGCTGAGCAGAGCGATGAGGATGAGCGTCATGTACTCAGGCAGGTGCGGCTGCCTCCTGGGACCCCAGTGTCTGGCTTCCATGCTGGCAGCTGCAGAGTCCCCGTCAATCTGGCTCAGATCTCCTCTCAGATGCCTACTCCTAAGGAGAAGAAGAGACACAAGGCTTGAGTGTACCTCTGAGAAATGGGGAGAAGGGGTGGGTGGAAGGTAAGGCTCAAATGATACTAATTAGCTCCCTTGCAACCCTGATTAAACATCAACCATCCCCCAAGCATGAGACTTTGGAAAGGGTTCCTCCAGGATCAGCCCTCTCTACCTGCCATTCATGCTATAACCCGCTTTGGCTCAGTAACTGAGGGAGATAAAAAAATGTGACAGATTGACAGATATTAACTGTATATCAAGTATTTTGGAATCCTAAAGCACAAGATTTTCTAAGATTTGGACTGAAGCTAAAGTAGGTATGAATTCATAGCTCGATTAGGGTATAGCTGTGGAACAGATGCTCCCAAAAGGGATGGCCCAACAAGGTCATACATAGTTATCAGTCCTGGATCCCAGTGCTCAGAGACCTCCTGCCCTCCCATTGAAGCCCCATCTCTTCCTTTACTGGGACAAAGTCTGTTCTGCACTAAGACCACCTCTACATGTTCATCTCATGAGAATGCTGTCCTTTCTCCACACATAAGATAATTCTTAGGACCTCCTCCTTCAGCTGCAGACTTCATGTGCAACAGCAGCTTGGACATCCCCAACCAGTATCCCACAGACACCTTAAACTAGTGCTGTCTACCTCTTCAACGAATGGTACTGGCCAAACTGGACTTCCACCTGCAGAAAGCTGAAACAGGATCCACGTCTCACCATACACAAAAGTCAATGCAAGGTGGATCAGAGACCTGGAAGTAAAACCCAAAACCATAAAGTTCCTAAGAGACAAACAGGAATCAAGCTTAGAAGGCCTAGTCTGTGGTATAAAGAGACTGCCAAATACAGCCAGAAATGTGTAATCTGTAGAGGATAAAATTGATCAATGGAACCTTCTAAAGATTAAATCCCTGTGCGCATCAAAAACTTTTTCCAACAGAGTGAAAAGAAAACCCACCAGCTGGGAACAAACAGTAATACCATCCCAGACAAGATTCTCATACTGAAAGTTTACAGAATAATCCTAGGCCTCCACAAGAAAAAGACTGATAGCTCAATTAGATAATGAGTAAAAGACATGGAAAAATTTGCACAGAGGAAGATATTCAAATGGCCAAGAGACACATGAAGAAATGCTCCAAATCACTGGCAATAAGAGAGATGCAAATCAAAACCACAATGAGGTACCATCTCACTCCAGCAAAAGTGGCGAAATTTAACAGGGCAGCAAGTAATAGATGTTGGAGAAGATGTGGCGAGAAAGAAACTCTTATACATTGTTGGTGGGATTGTAAAATGGTACAACCATTCTGGAAGACAGTTTGGCACTTCCTCAAAAAGCTGAACATAGAAATTCCATATGACCCAGCTATTCCACTGCTTGGAATATACCCTGAAAAAATGAGAACAGAGGCACAAACTGAGATTTGTACAACAACGTTCATAGCAGCATTATTCATCATTGCAAGAACATGGAAACAGCCCAAATGTCCAACCACAAATGAATGGATTGAGTAATTATGGTACATTCACACAATGGAATACTATGCAGCACACAGAAGCAATGGTTCTGTAAATTATTACCTAACTTCGGAGGGATTGGAGAGAATTATGCTGAGTGACTAACTCAGTCCCACAAAGACAATTATATAAAACCATTATTATAGAATGAGTATAAGGATCCAAGATGGGTGGGGGAGGGTGGAAACAGAGGGATGCGGATGTGCGGGGATGGGGCGGAGATTAATCATGGAGTTGTATAATTTGATGGGTGAGGAGTGAGGGAAATTGGAAGAATCTGTTCTCAAAAACAATGTATTCAAATTTTGTAAATAAACTAGTATAAAAGAAAGTCACTATGAGCTGAAGATAGCATGGCAGCACCTAATAATAACAAATGTAAAACAGCAATTTCTGAAATTAAAAGAAAAGAAAAACGAATGCTGTCAATCAGGACAAAACTTTCTGCCAAAACCTTTTATTCTTTTTATCTTCCCTCTGTGATCTAAGACGTTCAAATTCACCCACTTATCCAAACTAGAATTGTGGATGTCATTCCTTACTATTTACTCTTTATCACTCGGTCATCTTCCATACCCAACCAACAAGCCCCCAAATCCTGTTGATTCTGCCTTCCCACTATAACCGTTGCCTCTCTTCCAGTTCAGACCGCCATCCTATCCTGACTTACCTGGTGGTCTTCTTGTGTCCAATCACGACCCCCTATCTTTCTAATTGTTCTGTGAAGCATAGTCACCAATACAGATCACTTAAGAAAGCTAACAAAATAAAAAAACCTTCTGGCCAAAACACTCCCCTGCTTCAATGGTTCGCCCTCATCTTACAGCTAACCCCTCAGCTTAGTCGACACAGCTGTGCATGTCCCAGCCCCGATACCTGCCCCTCACACTGTCTTCTAGCCCTGCCGCATTGTTCCTGCATGATGGCCTTGAAGTCTAGAATACTGGACTCTTTTCCTCCGTATCCTCATACTCAGTGGCTCTCCCGGAAAGTGTGGGTAGGGAATTTACACCTGAGATGACCTTTCAAATGTGAGTATTAATGCATAAAGGGGGGAAGAAGTTCCTTTTTGTGTTCATCTATAATGGAAAAGAGATTGATGTTCTAGACGTGAAAGCCATCATGTATGAACAATGCAGCAGAGCTGGAAGAAAGTGTGAGGAACAGGTCCTCGGGGCTGGGGCATGCAGTACTGGGTCGACTATGCAGACAGAAGAGCTGATGATGGAGCACTGTTGAAGGGTGCCAGCTCTGATAGTGTGGTCAGCAGAGAATTGTGCTTCTTCTAACCAAGGTGACGCCTGTCTGGCAGTTCGAATCCACCAGCCACTCTGTAGGCAAAAGATGAGCAATGTTTTCCCATGAGATTTACAGCCTCCAAAAACTCAGTGGAGGGCCAGAAATGAGTGTATCCTGACTCCACAGCATCGAAAGAGTGTGAAGGTTGATTCTCCCTTTGTGTGGTTCACTCTTTTTTCCCCTACTAGTTTATTTACAAAATTCAAATACAAATTTGAACAAATTCTTTCAATTTCCCTCACCTCCCACCCATCAAATTGTACCACCCAATAATTAATCCCCTCTCCCCCTATACATCCACATCCCTCTTCTTCCAGCCTCTCCCACCCTTCCTGAATCTTTATACTCATTCTACAACAATGGATTTATGCAATATTTATCCTTGTGGGACTGAGTTAGTTCACTCAGCATAATGCTTTCCAGTCCCTCCCAAGTTAGGTAATAATTTACAGAATCATTACTCCTGCATCCTGCATAGTATTCCATTGTGTGAATGTACCATAACTTCTCAATCCATTCGTTTATGTTTGGACATAAGAGGTCCCCAGCCAGACACTCCCGGCAAGCCGCTGTCCCCCCCCACATACTCCCATAAGCAACCTTTACTTGTCCCCTCCCACCCATTATCACACTTGATCATAACTAGATTGCTAGATTAGATTTCCCACAAAGTGAGTTTCCCAAGGACAGTGTCCAGCCAGCTAGCACAGACTGCTCAATGAACGTTTCTTCAATGAACTGAAGAGCGTGAGAGCATCCAGACTGTAGGAGGATGAACCCTCCCCATCCAAGTGGGAGGAATGAGAGGAAGGAAAGCAATTAACATCCCTGAGCTCTTCAAATATGTCCAACACGGGGCCGGGGCTTTTCCTCATGTTTTCTAACTTCGTCTCATCTAAACTCCTCAGCAACTCAAGGAAGTAGGTATTACATCCACAGTTTACAGGCACCGAAACCACACTGACTGCTGCACAGTGATAGTCCTGCCTTCTGCGGGAGTGGCTCAAGAGTAATCTCATTCTGAGCATATCTGAACGGCTTGAGAGATACAAGAGTGAGGGGCGATGACTCAGAGACTTGCCAGTGAAGTTCTCTTCCTCCCAACGCACCACTCTCCCAGGCCAGGTCCCCTCAACTGCTATTCACCATCTTGCTTTCTCCATGCCCCTATGGCCAGCCCAACCCAGGGTTGGGGACTCACCGACCAAGAGTCCTCCCTCACCGGAGCTGAGACAACGATGACAGAACAGCAGCAGCAGTCAACCCCTAAACCCTGCTCCCACATGGGGCACCCCTGACCCCACAGTCCAGCCTGAGCTTGGTGATCAGAGGTTAAAAAAGGCCCTGGGCCTTCTAGAACTTCCCAGCTCTGTGAGCTCATCATCCAGAACCAGCCTCGCCCCCTGAGCTCTGACTAGCCTGCCTGAGGCCCTCAATTGCAGGGTCTTTGACAAGTTGTTGCCAACTCACCAAGACTCCATGTCCAAAAGACTGGAATGGAACCCAGCCAGTGCAATGTTGAAGCCCATGATAGCAGCTGTGGAGCTGTGGTGGCCTGAGAGTAAGAAGCTGTACTGCAGTCCCAAAGGCAAATGGTTTGAGTCCACTAGTAGTGTCTTTCTCTTAGAGAGTTTCTCTTCCAACACTCCATCAGACAATATTCTTTTGTAATTGGTAAGGGATTGGTTTTTTGGGGGGATATTGTTTTGTTGTGTTGTGTTGTGTTGTGTTGTGTTGTGTTTTAATTGGCTGATCCCCTGTTGAAATAAGTCTGAAAACTCCACAACCACTAAGATATGTGTGGCTTAGTGCGAAGAAACTCAACAAGACCAGTAATAAAGGTGAAAGCAAAGGGTAATTTTTCAGCTAATGTACGTCCAGAGAAAGGAAACGAAAGAAACAGAGAGCAACCTTGAGCCTTGAGGGCTTGGGGATGTACATGGCTGACTCCTTTCCTCCTTTTAGGGCTTGAGTCTGGGCCAATGGGATGATGTAGCAGGAAGTTCAAAACTTAGCCGGAAGTTGTCATTTGGGTCTGCTATTCCTGACATGGCTGGTTGCTTGACAAGCATCCCCACCTAAAATGTCCCTCCTCTAAAGTACAGACTCACCTC